GGTAAATAATAAAAAATTAGTTAAAATTAATTAAAAGTAGTAAATGTGTTATAAATATATTTCATCTGGTTCATAATATAAGTCGTTTTAACTAATTCGTCAAGTGACTTATATTGTGGATAAGATGGAGTACTTTTGATTTTAAATATGCTTTTATAATAAATAACATATGGGATAAAAGAAAATATGAAGAAATGTAACTAAAGATTATAGCATAAGAGAGAGAATATGATATATATTATTTAATGAAATTTATGTTTTTTTTTGTTATTTTATGACTAAACTTACTTTTTAATAATAATCCAAATAATTTTATTTTTTATAAACTGACTTATTTATAAAAATCAACCCAAATACAAATCACATTACCTAATCTAACTTTTACCTAATTTAACTTTTTTAAAAGTCAAATTAAAAATAAGTTACCTTTTCTTTCGCTAATCCAAACGGGCCTTAATTCAAATATTATTTATCTGCGAGCATAAAGGCATCATTTATATGTGATATTAATTATATTAATAATTTCCATCCAAAATATAGGAGCTAGCTAGGAAAAGAATTACTTTTTGTGCTCATTTTACAAAATCTGGACCATCTAGATTTAATATGAATAATCCAGATTTATTTTTTTGTATTTTTGTTTTTTAAAAACTTTTTTTCAATGAATATTTGGATGATGTAGATCTCATTGTAGCAGCGAGCACTAGTGCTCATAACTGCAATGAGTGCTAAAACTAGTTTGTTTAGAAAACTGACTTTAATCTTAAATATAGTATTTTAATTCATATTATCTCTCATATTTATTATTTTTAAAAAATTAATTTATTTAATTATAAGATGATATATACAATAATATATTATATAAGAATATTTTAAAGAAATATGGTTTGATTGGTTAAGCAGTAGGACAGAAGCATCATCACCAGACAAAGGTTTCAAAAGCCTCATTATTCAAACATTGAACACGTTAATTTGGATGCCCTGCTTTTAAGCAAACGAAAAAAGGACGTCATTTCTTGGAAAAGTGCGGAATGCATCTGACCGTTTGTTATTATTTAATATTTACTCACTCACGCCCTCAGTATATAAATGGCAATTAAGCAAATTAAGATTATTAAAATTAGTTTAAAATAATAAATATATAAGAGATGTAATTTTTTTTCTCAAATATATTATTATTTATGAAGATAACGAGCAAAAGAGAAGACGACAAGGAAAATAAATGAATAAAACATATATTCTTCTAGTCCTATTTATAAGTCACTTCCAATATATTTCACATAAACTAAGAAAAACCTTAAACTTCATTAACTCTTATTTAAAATTCAACAATTTTTTAACTTTATTCCTATTCAACATACACCTCATACAAACAAAGTCAACACAATAATAAATTAAGGGTAAAATTGTACATCCATACAAAAAAATTTCTCTCAATACCCTATAAATGGGATCAAAAAATGTTTTCTCTCTCAGTCCTATGAATAGAACTAGAAGAGTAACTAGTAATTGGGTAACAATGAAAAAAAAGGGATTAAATTTTTAGACAAATATAAAATGTTGCTTATATATAAGACCAATCCCATGTGAGAAAATATTACTTACATAAAGAATAGGAGAAAGTAATATTTTTATTTCTATTTTTATCTGAACTCTTTTATTGGAAGAGAATGAGGTTTGCTGAAATTATTTTAACTTCTAATTATATCATGATTAAAAAAAGAATGTTGAAGGTGATGAAAAATAGTACAATTATTCGGATTTGTGTCCCGAGATCTGGAAAGGTTAAAGAAAAATAATTTATTTCTATTTTTGCTTAATCCCATTTTTTGTGCGTGTTTAATAGTTTTGGATAAAATCATCCGTCATCACGTGTAAAGAGAGAAAATTATTTATGAAGATAAAGATATGAGAATATTTAGTTTTACTAGGATAGAAAAAGAAAAACAGAGAAATATTCAGTTAAGTTTTAAGAAAAAGAAAATTATATACGTGTAAAGATATAAGAAATATTAATATTTAATAGCTACCCCGCGAGAAAAAATAGCATATGGCCTCCAAAACAGAAACAACATTATTTTCTAAGATCACATGGTCAAAATTTTCACCTAAACAGCTAAAGTTCTCGGAACCTACGGATCAGCAAAGAGTGTTTTAAGTTAAGTTTTATCATACCTTTGGATTATTAGATATAAAATTTAAATAACTAATTTATAAAAGATTAGGAAAATTAATTTAGTTATTTAAAAAAAGTGCGTTATTGTTTTTCAAAATACCCCTTTAATTATTGATATTTAAATTACTGATGGAAACTCTCTTTAATATGTGACATTGACATTTGAGGAAAAAATTATAAATTTGAGAAATAAAATGAATTGTAATTTTATATTTAGAATCAAAATAAACTTTTAAGTAGCTTTAATATTTAGGGCCAGTGCGAGTATTACTGTTTTAAAAAATTCCTTCAGCCCTCTTTTTTCCTTTAAAAAAAGCAACTTTTGTTACTATAACAAAAATAAAATTGGAAACTTTCAATTAAATTTAGCTGAAATATCAAAATGCAAATTCAAATATGTGTTTTTAACATATTCTTTTTCAAGCCGAAGAGGACTAATTAGGGATTTCAAATTTTTGTTAAATGACCCCATTACTTCTCAATTTCATCTCTCTTTTTTCCCTGAAGCCACTTTTGCCGATAGCGACTGCTGCCTTGTTGGCAATTGCGCTCCGGTGACTATCCCCCTTGCAGCCGGTCATCAGCAGCGGTGGTTCTGGGGAAAGAAAAAGAGATGGCTTCAAAAAGACAACGAGAAATAACGTGGTCATTTAACTACATTATGAAATCTCTAGTTAATGATCTTGTTATGAATTTATTAAAAGTATAAGTATCAATTTGAATTTTAGTATTTCTGATAGATTTAATTGCCATTTTTCCAATAAAATTTAATTATGATAAAAATGTACCTTATTAACAGTTCATAAATCATAAATAGTGTAACTGGATTTTCTTCTATAAATAAAAAATTATTTTTGTATATTTTAATATTTGAATGTCTTAAATGTTATTAATTATTTATTTTGAAACATTTTGAATAATATTGTAAAGTATAAATATAAAATCTCAATTCATTTCTGAAATATTTAGGCTATTCAAGAAGAATCATTCCACTTAATTATCTTCATATCATAGTCAAACTAGAAACATTGTATTTAGGTTTAGATTCGAAATCGATATGTCCCACTACACATAGGCTGTGTTTGGGATCACGTTTGGGTCCCCAAACGTGCTTCCCCATTGGAGAAGTCATTAGGCTGCTCAACAATTATGGCTACGTTTGGATTGCCGTTTCAAACGCTGAAAGAGCCTAGGAAATTGTGAAACCAACGTTTGCAACTGAAATGAAGAAAAATGGTTGTTTGGCTAGAATATCTTATCCAACCGACTTTTATGGCAAACGGTGAACGTTGGCAACGCTAAGGAGAGCTACTTCTGGAGCATCTGAAATTGAAGTCTACCGTTATGGGGCATTTATTAGATCATAAAAATATCACCTACCAGTTTTAACCCTCCCTACATTTTCCCTCTCCCCGAATCCATTCGCCAGTCACTCCCTCCGTAGAGCTTCTCCACCATCACCGAATGCTCTCCCTCCCTCCTTCTCTCCGGTGCGTCTCTATCCGTGACTGTCGCTGGTGCTTCTCCTTCCTTCACTCTATCCATTTTCTCCCACACCATCGAGCGTTGTGCTCTGCTCTTCTCCCTTACGCTCTCCTATTTTGTTCTTCCATTTCAGGTGGTCCTCCGGTTGTTCGACCAAGCTCGCCACTTTATTCACCGTTGGATGTGCCAGAGATTAGCCGGAGTATTTGTTACAGATCAATGTGGTCCTCCGGTTGTTCGACCGAGCTTGCCCCTTCTATTTGTTGCATCCTCAGTGCGTTTGCTTCACCAGATCTGTTGAGCTTCACCGTCCTTCATCGATGTGTAGCTGTGCTTCCCGTACATCCAGCCATCTCTGCTTCATTTGATTTCCGCTCCACTTGATTAACAGTGGCTACCGAGAAGCAAGTCGTCAGCTTTGTTCTGCTTCACTTGATTTACTGTGTGTTGGCACTTCTCCCTCTGTGATCTCTTCTGCTTGGGCCTGTTTCAAACTCGCAGCTTCAAGTCGCAGGTAAGGTCGCTTATGTGTGATGCATATATACGTATATATGTTGAGATCAACCGTATTGCTTCATCGTCCTTCGAACTCATCTGCTCCTGGTTTGTGGTTTTAATTCTCTGGTATTATCTGATAAATTTGCTGATTTTTGTGTCCTGATAGTATTTGATAATTTGTTGATTTTTGTGTCCTGGTAGTATTTGATAAATTTGCTTGTGTCTTGGTAGTATCTGATAAATTTGCTGGTAGTATCTGATAAATCTGCCTCATTTGAAATGCTTCTAGGAATATAATCTTTCTAAGAATACGTGGGAGTTATTATTCATGGAATTCATTTAGAATTTTGTGCTCTTAGTGAATAGGGATGTGGTTGGGTTGTCCTATGGCGTATAAAGTGGATAACACATATGAACATTATTAGTTTAAAAATGTATCGATTGATTGTTTTTAAATAAAAAGTTTAAGCAAACACTGTTAATTGTGGGTTTATTCGTGTGTGTTACTGCTTGATTCTAAATTTATTGTGAACTTGATACATATGTAATTTCATCAAGAACAATGAGTAATGATAAAGGCAAAGCGTATTGGGATGTAAGCACTACTGGTGTTTTTCTCAAAAGATGCATGGACAAAATTTATAACAAACATCATCAAGGATCCTCGTTTACAAAGCCAGGCTGGGACAGCATTCACAAAACATTCAATGAAAAGACAAGGAGAGGATATTAGAAGAAACAGCTGAAAAATAGATTGGATAACTTGAGGAAAGAGTGGAAGCTATTTGAGTAGCTAATTGGTAAGGAGACTGGCATAGGGTGGGACCCTGAAAGGAACACAATGGTGGCATCTGATGAGTGGTGGGAGAGAAAGAAGCGGGTATGAACTAACTTCTGTTAATTTTTAAGCAGTTAGTGACTTCTGAAACCTTTGTTTACTTTTGGCTTTACAGGAAAATCCAGCATATGAAAAGTTTAGACAGCATGGGTTAAAATTCTGGACTGAATTAGAAACTCTATATAGGGGCACTATGGCATTAGGACAAGTTATGTGGTTACCTTCTTCAACCCCGCCTGTGCCACAGCCTGAGCCACAGAGGACTGATCAGTCAAATGATTACCGACCAACAATGGATTGGGAAGAAGGTTCAGGGGACAGTGAAGATGGCCTTCTAGGTGTTGACACTGAACGCCCTGCAGGAGTTTCGGACGATTTGGACGGCATCAATTTAACTGCAAACACATCAAACACTACACCTAGTATACCTATTGGTTCAAGGAGCCAAGGGAAGAGGAAGAGAGGTGGAGGTTTGGATAAGTACAAGAAACAAAAAATGCTAGCGAAAAGAAGAATAGCAGATCCAGTAAGCTCAATTGAGAAGGCTTCAATTAGTATAGTAGTGGCAGTAAACAAATTGGCCAACATTCATAACACTACTAAGCTGATCATTGATCTACTGAGTACGAAGGAAATTGTCAGTGACACTCATCTTTGTGTCGTGTTGTAATCTGCTGGCAAACAAGACTTTCAGGGACATATATGTTGGTCTGAGAGAAAATCGGGAGGTATTAGTGGCTTGGTTGAAGCACAATGCTGCAAATCCACTGCCATATGCTGCACCCAAGAATCCTTGAGTTGTGCCAACATACTTGTTATGACTTCTGTTTTTCTACCTTAATGTACTATTATGTGTTATGTGTTATGACGATGTATCTAATTACTAGGTTTAATGTTTTGTGTTTTGTGACTATGTTTAATGACCAAGTTTAACGTGTGTTTCATGACTATGTTTAATTATTATGTTAAAGTTTAATGACAATTTGTGTATTATCTTTTCTTTTCTTTTTTGTGAAAATTTTACTTATATTTAGTGTTTATCTATTCACAAGTAACAAACATCTATTATGTCTGATTCAACGGAGGGTTGGGGCGAGGGTTGGGAGGATGATAGGGGAGATGAATGGTCTCAATTACTTCCCTCTTTACATGAACACACAACACAATTATCAGAGCTAAGTGTGTTAATGGGTCAGTATGTGACACATTTTCTGTGCAAACACCCATGTAGAACTAGTGAACAAACTGGTTATTTGTGGGTTCAAGAACTTTTAGATGGGCATGAAGGACGGTCTAAGGATATGTTTCGAATGGAAACAAAGACATTCCATCGGTTATGTTCTAAATTGGTTGAACATGGGTTACAAAATACTTAGTACATAGGTGTCCATGAATTTGTTGCCATGTTCTTGAATATAATTGTGCATGGCCAATGTAATAGGATGATTCAGGAAAGGTTTCAGCATTCAGGAGAAACTATCAATCGGCATGTTCATCGAGTGTTAGCTGCTTGCCTCAATTTATCTCGAGAAAATATCAGGCCAACTGATCCTACATTTTCCTATTGTCACCCAAAAATAGCAAATGATCCACGATACTTCTCATTTTTTAGAGATGCAATTAGAGCAATTGATGGTACCCATATAAAATGTAAGGTTAGTCAAGCTAGGCAAGACAAATATATCAATAGGAAGGGATTTCCTAGTCAAATGTCATGGCCGTATGTGATTGGCATATGTGTTTCACATTCGTGTTGGCGGGCTGGAAAGGTAGTGCACATGATGGTCGTGTCTTTCATTCTACTATCTCAACTCCATCCCTGAATTTTCCTCATCCACCTGAAGGTATATTTCTTTGATTTCCAAATTAATTATTTTTAAATTCAGCTTCATTTGTATTATTTTCACCTCAATATAATTGAGTCATGATTTTTTAGGAAAATATTATTTAGTTGATGCTGGTTATCCATCACAAGTGGGATACCTTGGCCCGTACAGACGTGAGCGCTATCACCTTCCAGACTTTAATCGTCACCCAAGATATACAAATTAGAATGAGGCCTTCAATTATTATCATTCAAGTTTGAGATCCACTATTGAAAGAACTTTTGGGGTGTGGAAGAATAGGTTTGCAATCTTAAGAAATATGCCCAGATTCAAGTTTCAAATACAGGTCTCCATAGTTTGAGCAACAATGGCTGTCCATAATTTTATCAGGCAAAATTCTCCAACTGATGATCGCTTTATAGAAGCTGAACATAGAAGTGTAATAGATGAAGACAATAATCATGCAACTGGTGAGGCATCCTCGTCAAGTTTAACATCTACTGTGCAAATGAATCGTGTTCGTGACTCAATTAGAGACTAAATTATGTAAAGTTTACTATCTAATTAGTTATGTTATTTCGTTTACTTTAATTACAGACTAAATGAATTTTGATTTATATTCATGTTTGTCCATTATGTATATTTAATTAATTATTTGCAATGTATTTTTTAATTTTTCTCTGGCACAAATATTTTTATTTCATAATTTCACAATTAAACTATTTATATTTTATCATAATAATTTTATATGTTTTTTTAACCTATTATCACATTAAAAACATAAAATTTCAAAAACTACTATTTAATAAAGTTCATGCCTTTTTTAGTCATTTTACAACTAAACTAACTTTTTTATTCATCATCCAAACAACTTTCAACTTTTTTAATTGACTTTTCAAAAGCACCTATCCAAACATACTCTAACTGACTTTTACTCTAACTTCAGTTACAAAAGTCAGTTGAGCTAGAAGTCAATTTTGTCCAACGCCAATCCAAACATACCCTATGTTTGTGAAATCTGACTTGTGGAGCCCAAATGGACTTATACAAGAAGCTGATTCGAGGTGCTTTTTTTTTTTTGGGTGAGGAGGGTGTTGGGATAATACCGTTGAAAAATTAACTGGGTGTTAAAATTTTTTACGTACCTAACCTTTGCATGAATTTTCTCTCACCTCAGTTAAAAAAAAAGACACACACACTCCTCCATTTGAAACACACTCTGAAACAGAAACAAAACAGTATATATATAATTTCTTTCTAACAATAAATTAAATTTCCTTATTTTTAATAATTTTATTTTCATTACTTCTTTTAAAATGGTCACATTATACATATAATTTCTTTCTAATAATAAATTAAATTTCTGTAATTTTAATCATTTTATTTTCCTTACTTCTTAAAAAGTATTCACATTATATATATAATATTAGATATTTACTATTTAATAAGATTCATGTCCTTTTAAGTCATTTTACATCCAAACTTACTTTTACATTTATCATCCAAATAAGTTTCACCTTCTCAAACTGACTTTTTTTCCCAATCCAATCATAAATCACATTACCCTATCTGACTTTTACTAAATCTGATTTGTGTAAAAGTCAGATTAAAAAAATGTTACTTCTGCCACTGCTATCCCAAACACACCCATAATGGTTTAGATTGGGACTGAAATGTGAGAAATTAGAAAACGCCAAAATTGATGAGAGAGGAGAAAGAGGCTGCATAGGAAGTAAACAAATGAAAGAATAAAAGTAGAGCCACCACAATTCTCCTCCGCATAAGGAGATATTTTAAAGGGATTAAAATTTCATTCATGGATTACTATAGCAATTTTGATATCAATGCCTAATAGTTCTGAAATTTCAATTTAGTATCTAAGAATAAAAATAAAATTATAATTTTATGTAAAATGATCAAAATAACTTTGATATTATTTTTTAAAAGAAAAAAAATCAACTCCAATGCTGACGGCTAGCCTTAGAAATAGGTAGTCAGGGGTTTGAACTCATAAATGCCTCTTCACACTCCAAAAAGTATGATGCAACCAAGCCATTAAATCCTTTTAATCTTGTGGTGCAAACGTAGTATATGTAACAAACTTATGTTCCTAATTTATATCCTGCTAATGTATTGTTGTTGATTCCCTTATATGACTTGTTAATTTGCTAATTTTAGTTGTTTATATACGCCTGTTCATTGGTAAACTTTTAGGAATCCGAAAAACGGGATAGTTGTTAATTCCCTTCTGTGCTTTTGTCAAACATGGGATAAATTAAGATAAACTGAATTTTAAACAAAAATGAATTAAGATAAATTTAAAAAACTTGCTATTATATTTAAAATTGTAAGGTATATAATTTACTCAATTATATGCATTAATTCAAGGAATTTGCAAGATACTTGGTGAAACTTGTAGGCTTCAAGCTGAAAATCATTACCAAAACAAGCTGTACTTTCTTTTCCACTTTAATAATGCATGTCATTGCATAAAATCTTATTACATTGACTAATTCTTTTTCTGATTTTCATTTTATGTATTTTTGTAGATAAAATTTCATATATTCTTTTTTTTTGGGGTAATGTTTCATATATTCTTTTTCAACTTTGATGCTCCTATTTTATAAAACCGGGGTTTATTTTGTTTTTATCTTATTAATTCTAATTTATGACTTGTTTTTTATTAGAAAAAATTCTGCGTGTCTGTGTTCTTTACTACTGCTAGTCAGAGTTCCTAGATAGCCCGCTGAATGTAGACATGGTCCACACATCTGAGGACTGGGCTTTAATAATATAATAATTTTAAAGTATGCAGGTTTTAAAGGGTCCCCTCTTTTAGGCCTTGACCCTTCAAGAACTAGCTCTTTAACCCGGCCCTTATTGACAGCACTATGTTAAAAGTTTCTTTTAGTTGTGACTTTTAATGTCACTGATAGAAATATCACTTTTAGCAATAACTTTTAAGAATTACAGCGAAAAATCTAATTAAAAGTTTGATTTCGTCAAGCTTTCAGTAGCAATTGAAAGTCACCACAATAAGATTGAGTATGGTTTGCAACATGACTGACTATCTATAGAGTTGCCGCTAAAAGATCATTGAAAGGGTTTTCTTTTGGCTCATTGATAACTTTACCTGTGTATAATCTAAATCTAAATTTACATGAATTAACGTATAAACATATTTTCTGTCCATGAATCAACATTTATACCCTCCATTTACCAAAAAAAAAAACTCCTATCACAGTTATTTTTATTTTTTCCGGGTAAAAAGTGAATTTCATTTCATGATTCATCAATACAATGATATACCAGAGCAAATGCTCAATAACCATAATTCCATATCATATTCCCTGATTAATATAGTAATCCCGAACATTAACACTCCATTTAATTTCTTTCCTAAGGCCCTTGAACCAAGGCACACCTTAACAAGATATAACCAAAAGGAGAGATAAATCAACCATCATATTTAATTAAAATATATTGCACAGAATTTATTGATTTAAAAAATATTGAACCTTTTTTTTTTTTCCGAACTCAAATTCTACCTTATACCTTTCTTTGCATGAAAGAAAGAAAGAAAGGAGCAGAAAAGAAACATAATAATGATAAGAGAGAGGAGAGAAATAAAACAGACCTAAGAATATTCATTCACACGATTTCAAGCGTCTGACATGGCTTCTACACACACACACACACACACATGTTTCTATAACTTATTCCGTAGACCAGCCTGCTGGCTTTCCTTCCAGAAGGCGGCGCCGTTTCTGTCCGGCGACTACTCTTGCTGGCTCCGGCAGTGTTTCTGACCCAATGAGGTGTGGAAAATTGAGCTTAGCTTTCCTACCCTTCATCTTGAAAGCAGCTCTATCATAAGCCAAAGCTGCATCCTCCTCCCTCTCATAAGTTCCCAGCCATGTCCTCGCACCATTCCTGTTCGGTTCCCGAATCTCCGCCGCAAACTTCCCCCATGGCCGCCGCCTCATGCCTCAGTAAATCCTCCATCTAGGTGGCGCGTTCTTTTCACACGTCACAGATCCTGGGTTACTACCACCAGCCATATCATAACCACCTGGCCGAGCCATAATTTTGTCATCATTAATCCCGCCAGAAAACACCGTATCACTGGAGTTACTAACACCCTGCAGCTCCGGCAAAGCAGCGTCATAGCTCAGATTCCGAGTATGGTTGTCCATGAAGAAGCCATTCAAGAGAGCCATGAAGGAAGGGTCATCTTCAATAAGGTATTGTTGAACTGATTCAACAGGAGAAAAATTAGGGTTCATTTTGGGAAGCTATAATATTTAAAATTTGGTGTTAGCATATAGAAGCACAAGATCAGTGAACATGGGTTATGTATGTATATGTACAATGACTTTAGTTTAAAGTGATTGATGATATTATTTTATTCTTCAGCTTTATTTGTTGTTTCCGTGAAACTTCACTTGTCAATTAATTTGGAGTGGTTGTTATTATATTCCATGATGGCTGCTTTATGTAAAATATTAAAAATTATTCATTAATTAAACTTCTCAGTGATCAATCAGTTATTGCTTTGTTGTGAGCAGTATGACAGAAGCAACCCCAGTCAAAAATTTAAAAAGGTCAGTATTCTCACCCAAAAAAAACAAAATCATTATTCAAAGACTTATGCCACGTTTGACAAATAAAATGACAAGTCAGGTAAAAAAAAATAAAAAGAACTCGTTCTAATGCATCATTTGAAATTGTTGTCTTTTTATATTATAGTAGAAATTTTGATGTTGTTGGGTAAATGAATCATAATGTTACGGGTGTGACTAATTTCTTGGAGAAGTGAGGAATAATTAAATTTCAAATATTTTTCCTATTATTTAATCCCATTTTTACCTGGGTCTTTTTTTAACCTGTGTGTCGGTCTATCATTAAAAAAAAAACTTAAATCCTTTCTTAAATGTAGCCACGTGTAGGAGACCAACTGAAAAAGATAATGACATGAGAATGTTTAGCATATATAAAATATATATCTGCAAAAAAAAAAAAAAACTCGAACACCCAGCTGCGAAATTTAAAAATTAAATGGTGATTATCACATTGTGGTCAAAAAATGATGATTAACATTTAATAATAGATCATGACGCTTCACACCCTGAAAAGGGCAATATTTAAATTTTTCTTAATCGGAATAATTGCAACAATTATTTAAGAAAATGGGAAGTTTCTTCTACTTTTTTTCTCGTTTTGTTATTATTAGCATTATTAAAGGCATATTTTCCCTGAATTTCCTGAAACTCTGTTTTCTTTTTAAACATAAACATAAACCACTGATAGTGAAATCATCAAACTGTTTAGTCACAACATTGCAAACTAAGGTTCAAATCTCTATTAGGAGAAGTGTACACATTTACTATCCAATAATATCTCAAGTAGAATTGCTTTCAATAGGAGAAAATCTATGAGTAACTTAAAAAAAAAAAAAAGTTACCAACATTGTGTTAGTTTTGGTGGAAGGAGTTTTGATTATCTAGGTATGAACTCTTGAATTCGAATTAGTGTAAATACAAAAAATGCTTTTAAAAAAATTACTTCTAATTAAGCTCAATAATACTTGAATCTAACTCATCCAGAAAGTTATGCATAAGAAAATGGTCGCTAAAGTTAATGGTGTATGGTTTGGTGTAAATAATGCTTTTGACACTCGAGATACTTACTCAATGTGTATTTTGAGGTGAATAATGTTACTTGAAAAATATTTTAGATGCAAAATAGTCTTTTACCCTTTTCTTATTGGAGCTTTTGTAGTACTAAGCTATAATGTAAAAGACAATTTATTCAAACCAGTAAAAAGATTAAAAGTAAAAAGATAGGCAACTTATTCAAATTTCGAAGAGTTTGAACTTGATTGATATTTTAAAAATATTTTTTGATAATGCTGAAAAAAAAAAGATACGCAACCCTTTGATTTTCTTTTCAATTAAGTTAGAATAATATATTATAAAAATATAAATAATTGTATTGACTACAACTCCTAAGTAAGAAAACTTATTTTAAAATGACACACACTGTAATTGTATTCTCTTCTCTTTTTTGAGTGAAAAAGAGAACACTCATATTTTCAGTCATTTTCTAAAATTAGCATTCCTTTAAGTTTATTAAACTAGTGTAGTCTTATCTCTCTCTACATAATTAAAAATACTAAAAAACAAGTAATTATTACTACTTCTAGAAATGTACAAAGTCTCTTGTATATATTTTTTTAAAAAAAAAGAGGCAAAAAATTTCTGAAAAGTCTCTTGAGGAAGCCAATTCCCAGAGCCACATTGGTAATTCAGTGGCACCGTACCAACATAGGACCACATATCAAAAACCATTGAAGTAATCAAACTTGACTTCAAAGTTCAATAAAGCATTGCTTTTTAGACCAATGTGAACTTAAATAAAAGCTCTTACAAACCGTGTAGAAGAGTTCTGACCTAATCTGCTTTATTTTATGTTACGTATTTAAGTTTAAGATTTTTGAGCGAATATTTAAGATTTGATTTAATAGTACAAACAAAGGGGTCTTGCGAAGTTAATGAAGACAAAGTTTTGTGTATCAGTGATCAACTTAGATCAATATAATCTACAAGTTTATCCAATGAATAAGTCACTTTTGAATTATCCGAAAATGAGGAAGTTCTTCATCAATTTCATGCTTCACATGAAAAACAAAGGTAACAAAAAAATCAAGGATAATCAATTTTCCTACTAAAATTTTAAATTAATGTTAGCTTCCAGAATAATGAGATATTTGTTGATTATTCTTTTGCTGTTGATCATCATCAAAATTCAATATCATTGCATATCTTCTTATATTTACAGATATTGGATCACATAATAACTCAATAACATATGTTTTGTAAATAATTTTTATAATGACTCAACAAGTTTAAAAAAAAAAAACTATATCAAGTTCTTAATACAAGACCTAGTTGATTAATTTGGTGGAATCAAAAAATTACTTAATTATAATATATATGTTACATGATCTTTCTAAAATACTCATATATAACGTTAGCCTATATATCAATTTATAAATAAAACAAATTAGTTTTAAAAAAATGATAAATTTAAAAATTTAAAATAATTTAGTTAGTTTTTAAATTTTCTAAAATGAGTTAATTGGATCTTATATTAAATATTGGAGGTAGTATATCATATTTCCCATGCATACATGCATCAAACGTCTTTTTTAAATCTTACATTAAATGTTTTGTTGACCACAGTCCACAGCTACCATTCTAACGAAATGTTGACGACATTGATCTTAGAGTGCATAAAATGTAAAATATAAGATTTATTGAGATCTTTGACGAAATTCCAAAGCATCTATCGATGGCTCATGTATATATATTATACTCTTTCTATCTAATTATTAAGTTAATTTTAGTTCTAAATATAAGATCTATTTCTCATTTTTATTATTTTTTTCTAAATTACCCCTATAGATAATTCCTTAACCATAATCAAGTAAGTGAGGGAGGGAGAATATTAAGAAAGATGATTATGGTATTTTAGAAAAAACATGTCATGTTTTTTATAATTAGCTAATTTACCTAACTTTCTTAATCTAATCAAATTAGTTAAATAGGCCTTATATTAAGGATTGGAAGAGTATTATATAATTATATATTGAAAGTAAGTTGAACAATGACCATACCTGCATAAATTTTCCGTGGCTCGTGGGGGACATCATAAATATATATTATTATAATTAAATAGACTAAGATTGAATGATTTTCAGTCTGAATGCAAATTAAAATATGTAATTTGGAAATTAAACTGTTTTACCATCGTGTTGTTCAACTAAGGCCCACCTTGTAATTGACTAGATTAAAGTGTTTGAAAGCTAAAGGTGCACTAGTAAGTAGTAATTAGAGCTGAATCTTCAAAACGTAAATATACAAATAAAAAAATTAGAGAAATAATTTATTTAATTCTAAATGAGAGTTAGAAAATCAAAAATTAAAAAAATTAGTTAAGTTATACTTGTTACCAATACGTGTTGATATCTTTAAAAGACTACATTCAATCATTATTTTCATATGTAAACCTTTAATATATATTATCGAAATGCATAGTTTAAAACAAATTTATATTATAAATTTTGAAGACAAAATGAATTGAAGTCTTATATTTAGAATAAAAATAAACTCTTTAACTAGGTTTATATTTTAGAGAATCTAAAAAAAAAAATCTTTGAAATTTAAAATTTTAAATCAGTCTTGTTTATTATACATTAATAACATTTGACAATATTTGAAAATCAAATGAAAATACATTTTTGTAGTCATTTCTAATTTGAGATTTTAAAATTTTAAAAATATTTTTTTGAATTTTCCCTTTATATTTAGAACTGGAGTGAGTACTAATTAAGTAGATATGCAACGAGTTTTTTCTAAAAGAATAAAACGTTGTTTAAGTATTATAACCACATGCTTCTAGCTTATCATATGCTTATTTGATCCTGAAATAAAATATATATAAACATATATATATATCTATATATTCAAAGGGGGGTTGTGACGGGTAAGTAAATAATTAAACACGCTTCCACATTTATAGATGTATTGGGCATCATGTGACAAATAAAATGCACGAATCATACCTTGTGAATTTACGTTTGATATTTTATTAGGTAAACTTCCATGCATATATTTTGCATTGGAAAATGAAACAAACTACTATTTTTTTCACAACAAAATACACTACTCATGATTTATGAATCCCCTGAAAAATATATTGCAAATAACACAATTCACGAGGCATAAGTAGGTATAATTCCTGCTAATTATTTAACCTCTAATTGATTATCATTTATGAAATGAGATTAAATCATGTTTAATTTCAGTATAATTATTATTTATTTTTAAAAGAATATTCATGAATTTAATATGGTTTTACTAGCTATTTTGAAATGATTTGAAATATATGTTCTGAATGCTTTAATTTTGATTTGATTCTATCTAGCTCTTTCCTTGCTCAAAACTTTGTCCCCCACATTAAGATTGTGCTTTCTTAATTATAATTTCTTTGCTTTTTTTTAATTGCTTTTATTGAAGAACTATATTGAAGTATTTCCGGCTTCACGTGTTTGTTTGATTACTGTTTTCTAATGCCAACATCTGAAAAAGCTGTTTGGTTATTTAATATTAAACATATGATATAATAATTAATCCATTTATTCCCAAAAGATTTGGGAATCATGTTCATGTGCTCGCATGTTGGCTGCCCATCAACGATCGATCAACCAAATTCAAATATGTTATGCTCAATATTGTTTAATTTATTTAAGCACTTTTTTATTTTGTAATATAAATATAAGCCACATCAAATATACATTTAATTGATTATTACGGTATGGGCTAAACTTGACGTCACCTGTAGGGCATCTATCATCAAAAGTTCTGAACTCCATAAAATATTAACAGTGTAATAATAACAAATATTACCCCCACTAGGTTATGGATAGGACGACATGATTGTACTCTTTCAATAATTTAATCTTTAAATAAATTATTGACCAAAAAATTCGTATCTCTTTTACTTTTGATTAAGAAATTAAGGAAAAACTAATCTCCAAGTCCCTATACTTTACAACAATTTTTAATTAGGTCCTTTTAGTTTGATTTGTTTGAATTGGGTCCTTATATTTTACTCTGTTAAACTCATCACTCCTTGGGGCTTTAACACCGTTAAAATTAATTGAAGTGGTTGACATATCGGTTGCTCGGCGACTGACTGTGCACACAAGTAGGTATTCTTGTCCCTGGAGGCAGGCAATGACTCATCTCTCATTTATGCAGAATAAAAATTAAAAAGTTGGCCAAAAAAGGAATAAAATTTTAAAAAAAAAAGAGTAATATGTTGAAAAATTCCGCCCTCATCGGCGCTTCTCCCAGGTGAAGTGAAAGAATGGAAGAGGCGATCACTGCATCTAATGCATCATAATGGAAAAACCCAAAAGCTATTGTTTGAATTTAATGAAAATTGCAACTTTCTTTTTATTCCTTTTGGGAAAAAAATGAAGTGAAATATTTTAGCTAAGATTGAGAGTAAAATACTAAAAATGAGATCCATTCCATCTAGGAGAAGCATCGGTGAGGATGAATTTGGCGAAATCGAAAACAGTGGTGGTGGTGAAAATCAAAGTGCTAAGGGTTGACACTACCGACATAGATGAGGTTGTAGAGAATGACGATGCGGCGACGAATGAAGTAAGGGAGGATTCGTAGGTGCCAAAGCCATGGGAGAGGACGATTCGGCTCTTTGGTTTGGTCGATTTGGGGGGCTTTGGTCTCTAATTGTTCATGGGAGGTGAAATAATTTCTTAAATAGTTGATGTTTGAATGCTTAAAGGTAGGTATCCGATGAATTTGGTGCTTGATAAGGTTAATTTAGGTCTCTAATTTGTTTCTTGAATCATTGATGTTGAGTCTCCACCCTATGGTATTCGACGAGGATGGTGTCCAGGAAAGATAATTATTTTAACTAAAAAAGAAATTTCAATCATTTCAAATTATATTTATATAAATATATATAATAAAAATAAGTATCTATATGTGTGCACAGTCAGCCGCCAACTCATCAACAGGTCAGTCAATTTGGTTAATTTTAACATGGTTAAAGGTCCAAGGAGTAACAGGTTTAACGGAGTAAAATGTAAGGGCCTAATTCCAACAAATCAAACTATAGGGACTTAATTTAAATTTGATGTAAAGTATAAGGATTTGGAGATTAGTTTTCCCAGAAATTAAAGTAAAAAATTTCCATATACTTATGGTTAAATCACCCAATGCAATTTAGAATGTTATAAATGGTATGTATATTTATTTTTTGTTCTTTCCTTCAAATAAAAATTCATGATACTATCGCCTAGATGAATAGTGGCATTTGGGATGAAAGATTTATTTTTTGTTCTCTCACTTAACAGACTGCCTCTAATTTTAAATATTATTTATTATGTGAACAGTGGTAATTAGCTTGATGAGAGGGAGTGATTATTAACAGATAGAATAATTTGATAATCAAATATCTGCTTTGAGTAAAATCTTAGTAGTAACGCACCCCAATTAATATTTTATGGCAATTTCAAAACTGCAGCTAGCTAGACTTGACAAACCAAACAAAAATCATAATTAGACACCAACATACAAAATCACATGAAGGTATTTTTTGGAAGAAAAAGTGTGAAGAGGAAGAGAAATAATAGATCATCATCAGCATTAATGCATTATTATTTCAAGCTTCTGACTTGGCTTCTATTTGTTGCTAATTTATTCAATAGACTAGTCAGCCTCTTCTTCTTACTACTTGACCCTTGAGACCCGCCGTTATCCTCAGATGCACAACCTGACCGCGATGAAGATTCTGGCGAGTGGCACTGCGGCGTCGTCTCGCTGACTACTCGTTCCGGCACCTCTGGCGGCGATTCGGACCCAATGAGATGTGGGAAATTGAGCTTGGCTTTTCTACCCCTTATCTTAAAAGCAGCTCTATCATAAGCCAATGCTGCATCCTCTTCCGTCTCATATGTCCCTAACCACGTTCTTGCTCCGTTCCTCTTCGGGTCCCAGATCTCAGCCGCGAACTTCCCCCATGGCCGACACCTCACACCTCTGTAATTCCTCCATCTAGGCGGCGCGTTCCTTTGACGCGCCACAGAATCTGCATTACTACTAACATTATTATCAGCCCTACCACCACCTGCTGATGGTTTCACGGTGTCTTCGTGCTCACCGGTAAACACCGTGCCACTGAAGTTGCCCGGAGCCTGCTCAAGCGAAGCAGTAATGTCGCAGTTAGGGTTTGAAGTAGCAGAGCTTGACGTGAACGAGACATTATTCGTCATGGGAGAAGTGAAAGATGAAGGATCATGATGATCGTATTGCTGAACTGATTCGAAAGAAGAAAGATTGTTAGGGATCATTTTTAGAAGCTAAGTTTATGATGTGAGATAACAGAAGCGCAGAGATGAGCAATACTGAGACATGACTTATTTATATGTATAATGACGTTCGTTTGAAGGGATTTGATCATATATTATTTTATTCTTGAGTTTTTGTTTTTTGACCCTAATATTCTTGAATTTGTTGTTTCCATGGAAACTTCAAGTGTAAGTGGTTTTTAAGTTAATATAGAGTGGTTGTCCTCGCGCGTGGGATTAGTTTGTATACGAAGTATTTATATGTGTGTGTGTGTGTGTGTGTGTAATAGATACATACTATATATGTATACATGACATGATATGATAGCTTCTTTTGTATAACATTTATTTAAGAGCTCTTTGATCATTTGCTTTCGTTTTCTTTTCTTTTCTTCTATCTCACTCTCTCCCCTTTTTTTTTTTTTTTTTGCTTTTGTTTTTGCCAACTGTTTTTGCTTTTGTTTAAAGTATGGTTTATTTTGCTTCGTTTAAACTATGGTATGCAGAGGCAAATCCAGAGTCAAAATGTTAAATATTCTAACACAAGTAATTGATAAAAATTTCATTGTTATTCAAACGAAAAATTAATCTTTTGGACCTTTAATTTTTAACTCATTTATAATTCAATCTTTTAATTATGATTCAGCACAACTTAGTCCTGAATTTTTGACTGGCGTGTGACTCAACTCCTTGTTTTTTCATATTTTTATATGATTATCCTTATCATCTATAGCTCATTTTATGTGGCAAAGATTTGTTTCCAGCTCAGCTCCACGTGGCGTTGCTGTGTCATCTTTCTTGGAAACGCCTGCCGGCCAGTTCACCTCTTCTGATGCTTCCCCACTAGGAGTTTTTCCGTTCAGCTTTCCCTCCAACTTTGCAGCCCAACCGATACCGTCTTCCAGTCAGCAATAGTCATAGAATTTGCTGATATAGTATTATTTTGTAGCTTTTTCGCCATTTGGGTGACCCTGATAGTGTAACTCACACGGATTCCCTTTAACTTGAAACCATCATAAAACGCCAAAGGAGAACAGGAAAACGATGAAGAAACTATCACTCTTGTTTTGTTTTCTTTTCCAATTAGATTTTCCTGAAAATCATACGGAAACTTATCACGATTTTGGGGAGAAGTGACATTTGGCTGTTGCCTTGGTGGTAAAATTTTGAATAAAAAATATCTCTTTAGCCCAAAGTTTAATATACTTAATTTAAGGATCATAATACAATTAAAGTTGCTAGGCAAAGCAGAGCAAGGAGTGACTATTGCCGATTGGGAAATGGTGTCGGTGGTGCTGCAGAGTTGAAGGGAAAGCTGAAGTATTCCCGAGCGGTTGCATTAACCAAGATATCCTGAAATCTACATACGACCTCCAATTCTTAATATAAGAGTTAGTTGATTAATTTAAATGGATTAAAAAAATTAGTTAAATTAGTTATTTGTAATAAATATGTGTTGTCTTTTTCAAAATATCTTTACTAATCATATATATTAACTAGAACTATCATTTGATGAAATACTTACCGTATGCAACTACTCCAAAAACCACCTTAGGAAAAATGGACAAATATAAGAGATAAAGTAGATTAGGATATTATATTTATGATTAAATTAAAATTCAAACTAACTCTCATATTAAGAACCGGAAATATTATTATATATAATTCCATTTTTGGTGTCGGCTTATTTTCTTTTGAAAAAAATGGGACCATAAATTTTTCCCCAGTTTTTTCAGTGAGAGCCACATAAGAAATGGATAATGACATTAGAATATTAAACGTCAAATTCTTCATCATAAGAAATATTCGAACACCCATGACGTACGGAACATTATATATTTATATACTATCTTTTGTGCTTAATATAAAAATTAGTTAATTAATTTAAGTAGATTAAATAAATTTGTTAAGTTAGTTATTTGTAATAAATATGTATTGTCTTTTATAAAATACTTATGCTAATCAGATGCATTAGTTAGAACTAACATTACTATAAGAACCAACTTAGAAAAAAAAGATAAATATAAAAATAAAATGAATTGAAATTTTATATTTAGGATTAAACTAAAAATCAGACTGGCTCTGATATTAAATACTGGAGGTACTGTCATGATTATCAATACCTTTATTAAAAAAATTAAATGATGATTAACATAAACATTAATGGATGATGGGACTTTGGGTAATTAAAAAATCCAAAAAAAAAAAGGAAAAGAGGAAAAGATGCATTTTCAATTATATACTCTTATTATGTGGAAAAAAAATTTCAGCACGTGGTCTAATAAGCCTTCGACTATTAGAAACTTGTACGAACCTATACAAGACAGTACATATTGTCTAGTGGATGACCAAGAGTCAAAAGTTTGTAAATAGTTAATGGGAGAATTACAATCACATTCCCAAAAAAATTATTAAAAAATCTTAATAACAACCTAAACAATTTGTAATAATAAGTTCTAGAATGAAAAATGATAATTTCTATAACTTGTTCTGTAATTTTTTTTTCTTTCTTAGGACTTGATTGTAATTTTCTCATAGTTAATTGGCTTTTGTGAATTGTTAATAGCTAATTATGTGTTATGATTGGCTTATACAAGAAGTTTTGTAAGTTAATTTGTAAAAGTGTTGCCTGAAATTGTTAATACACATATATATTATCTCCGGTCCTTGCTATAAAAGAATCAGCTGACCAATTTGAGTAGATTAAGAAAATTAATTAAGTTAGTTATTTATAACAAATAGTTGTTATCTTTCTTAGAATACATTTACTAATCATGTATATAGCTAAAATTATCATTTGATGCAAACATTTAACACGTGCAACTACCATTAGGGTTATTTTAAGAAAAAGGGATAAATTTGAGAAACAAAGTAGACAAAAATCTTATATTTAAGGCCAAATTGAATGTTAAACTAGCTTTTATATTAAGAATCAGATGCAGTAGTTAATATATTTTGGGAGAATTATAATGAAATCCCAAGAAAGAAAAATACTTACAAAATAAATCCCAAAAGTTATCATTTTCTACCCTGAAACTTCTTATTATAAGCTGCTTAGGTTGTTATTAAAACTTTTTTGTAATTATTTTTTTGTCCTTGAGATCTTATTGTAATCCTCTCATATATTTTTGTGAATATCTAAAGCGCTGTTGTTAATAACTAATCTATTAGCAAATTGTCCAGTTACCAGTTTGACCACCCATAGAAGTGGCTTTTTTTTTTTTTTTAAAAAGCAAAAAAAAAGGGGAGGGACTATATAGTAAAAGAAGAACATTCACAGATCTGAAATTGGTTCCTTTAGACCGATTTGGGAATTGTTTAACTTAATTAGTGACCCAATTTCAAATTTGAGCATTTTGATTGCATTTAAAAGAAAATTTCCCCTTTTTCTAATCGATACTTGTACAAATTCTATTTTTTTCCCCTTACACACACACAACAACTAAACAACATTTTTTTCTCTAAATAGTGGATATATTTTTAGGAAAATAGTAAAAGTAATGAAAACGAGCTTCAAGATCCTTAAGGAAGAATTATAAAGCATGAGTCATATATATATATATATATATATATAAACTATAAAATAATTTGACCATGACTATATGTCTTCCCTTGGCTTGTGGTGAGCATTCACATATAATGGTCGTTGAACTAACACTCGGCTTGCGTTTGACTAAGCTGGTTTGTGTTGAGACTTCAACAAACGAACATATATAAATAGCATAAAAAAATAAAAAATGTCACGAAATAATAAGTAACTTAAACTAAATACGAACTCAACGAAGTTTGATTCTTTAAATGGATTTATTTTTATATTTATCATGATGATATCATCAAAAGGAATAAACGTTCTGGCCAAAAAGGGTAAAGAAAGAATCAATAACCTTAATTGCTATATATTGACTAGATATTAAGCACGTTTAGGTTTTTTGATCTTGAAATCAACATCAATATTATAATGATTAATCTTAAACAATATAATTGTCCATTCCTCGCTATTAGTTAATTACATCAAATGTAAAATATGCCGGTTAATTTATTATTAATTATTTGTTTATTTTTGTTGCTTCATTGAAGTCTTTTCAACCTACACGTGGATGTAGGCGGCCGACATGGGAGATGGCTGTTTTCTAAGGCCAAATTCTGAAAAGTTGTCTCCTAATTTCCACGGATGATATCTCTAAAAGATTCGGTGATTTGGATGTCATAATTAATGCGTGTTGGCTTTGTGATCAGTGTTACATTATTTTTTTGTGCCATGGCCAATGTTAGATCAAGCCAATGTATTACTCTTTTAGTCCCTTATTATAAGAAACTACTACTACCTCCGGTTCTAATTATAAGATCCAGTTGATTTATTTGAGGAGATTAAGGAAGTAAGTTAAGTTAGTTATTTATAATAAATAAGTGTTGTCATTCCTAAAATATCCTTGCTAATTAAGTGTATTGGCTAGAACTATCATTATTAGAAGGATTATTTTGGAAAAAAATGTATAAATATGAGAGACAAAATGGATTGGGGTCTTATAATTAGGACCAAACAAAAAGTCAAATAGGATCTTATAATAAGGACCGGAGGTAATATTAAGATTACACATTTTAAAATATTAATTAAATTTATTTAAAAGCAATAAATATGTAAGATATAATATACACATTTCTTAAATATGTCTTTATTGTAAAAAGCGTACATGAGAGATAATGCATAAAAATTTATTACAGAGATAATAAGTAATATATATTTAATGAAGCTAAAAGTAAAAAGATTAATTTGATATTTCAGACAAAGATAATTTGTTTTTTATATTTAGAAACAGCACTATGAGAGAGAGATTGTTTCTTATAAAAAGAAATGGAATTTGTATCTCTTTTTCTTTATTATATTGTATTAATTTTGTTTTAGATATAGCACATTGTTCTAATTATTTCGAAATCTATATGTAGATCTCTCTTCAAACTCAGTGTTTCTTTTAACTTTTAAACAAACTCAATGTTATATTCTA